GGGATGGGTATTTGATCATTGTATAATTGGAACCCAAGCACAAAAATTTGTAAGTCTACAACTGTACCTCATGATGAGGTTTCTTTTTAGAAAGAACACAAAGTCAATGAGAATTTAAGAGCAATGGTGAGATTTTACCATTGATTTCCTTTTTCTTGGTGATGTCCTTATTAGATCTTCCCCTCATTCTTTACAACCTAGCTATTCCAGGTACTGATTAAGTCACTCCAACTGTTCCTTTAAGGTACCTATTAAATCATCTTTTCCCATAGCATATTATATGTATGCAGAAAATAAACTACTTCTGACAAGGACAACCTTTGGGATTTATCAGGAACTGGAGAGTGGGTGAGTGTTCTCTATCAGAACTTGGTGACAGGTAGCTAGTACTGCATTCTCCTGGACTAGGATCCACTCTTCCTTGTGTTTTGGAATTATACTTGAGTATAATATACTTGAGACCAGGGACAAGATTTCTTTGAAAGAGAATGTGCTGAGCTTGGGTAATACCTGGAAGCATCCCTTCTGCATCTCTTAGTAAAGGTTTACTAGAGTGACCAATAATGGGATTATAGTGTTATACTGGAACAGACACATCCAGAGAAGCTGTTATGATTTACATTAGGCTTGCAGAGAAACCGCCAATGGTTGATGACAATTCAAACTGTAAATAAGGACTGCTTTGTTTTGGACACTGATCTCAGTAATGTTCCTAACAAGCCACTTGCAAAGCCAGGGCACAATGCTCTGCCATTGGACACACGTTGATCGAAGAACTGCTCTTGTCCCCACAAGCTGCTAAAACAGCAATAACAAGAAGGCAAAATGGGTTTCTGGGAACACAAAACAGTTATCCTGACACTAGTTTTATTCCATTTGCTCCCACAGAAGTGAAAAGCAAAGAAAAGTATCTGGTACAAAAGATGTTAACTTGCTAGATAGCACTCTAGAGACGAAAATAATTAATACAACCATTTAAAGGAGCAGCCTGCCTTTTTATGAGGATACAGAAGTCCTAAGAGAATTGGAGCAAACTTGAACGTCTTTGTTCTGCCTAATTAACAGAGCCTGGCATTTCTTTTCTTCTTCTCTCCCCAGTTGTTCAAAACATAAGCTATCATTGATTGGGAGAAGTAGATTTACACTTTAAAATGTAGTGCAAGTACTATCCCCTTTGGTTCAAATATAGCCCTTTGTTGGGGGAAGCATATATTTCATGGTGATAAATTCACCTCTTAAGTAGAAAAAAAACTATACACACATATACTGATATGTCAACTTTATTGATTCTTTATACCATTGTAAAGACCTTCATTGTCCTCCAACATTTCTTAAACCTACCAGTAACTCAGAAAATAACCCTGAAGGCCTCATTTATCTGTGGGGAAAAATTTTCTTTCTCTTAGGTTCTCCCATAAACAGTGTGATTTAAACAGCAGATCTGCTTCTGCTACTAGCAGATAACCAGCTGAAGAAATCGAACCCTCATAGTCATGGACAATACAAAGACTCCTTCTCTTTCTCTGGATATGGGATCTGCCAAGTTTTCATGATAGCTAAAAGCCCATGCTGATGGCTACAAACCCATCTTAATGTCATCCATATAACCACAGATTAAGAATGAAGGCTGACTGATACTGGTATACTGATGAGGGGCTGGGATGTTTGTGGGTCTTGCAGTGATTCTTTGATTCTTTGATTAAGCCTTTGAGCTACCTCTGGACTTGAGAGATCCACTCTTCAAATTCTACATATGTGAACAATCTCAGAATCTCCAATTTGCCTCTACAGAGCATGCAACTATAGGAAAGTTTATGTTACACTCAATAGTTGGCATCCTATTCCTTTTTCATATTTCTCTCTAAGGGTATCAATTAAAATAAAACAATTCTGAGGTCTTCTCCTTTATTTTCTTTTTATCACTTTACTATGAAAAAATGTACATGGCTGGAAGTCATCAGCTATGATGAAGCAAATTCCAGAGATCTTTTGATTTTAATTGATCACATTGGTCATACTGCACAGGACATTAGAACACAGGACCTGTAGGAATGCAGTGATACTTCACTTCTCTTTGCACCTGAAGTTGCACAGTACTTTCCCTAACAGTTTGCTGAATGCAGAGCAAACTTTACTAAAAAGTAAACACGGAGAAATTTATACAATAGGAATCTACTAAAAGTAAAAAAAAAAATAAAGAACCAATTAGGTCTTAAATAAAATAAAGCAAGTTAACTTTCTCAATTTTAGGCTATAAGGCTGATCACATCATTTACATTGGTGGTTTTTTACTCAGGTCCGTAGACTACTATCAGTCTGAAGAAGTTTCCAGCCAGTCCATGGAGAAGTTAACATTGTTGATCTGACAGTGGGTTTTCAGCTAGTATGCAGAACAGCTGGAAAATCCTAAAAGCCACTTGTTCACATGTAATTGTTGGTAGACCATTGAACCATCAATAAGGACAATGTTATGAGATTAACATTTTTTATACTGTGGCCATCAGCCATTTTGGCTGTTTAAATAAAATTAAGTGGAAAACAAGACGTGGTTCTTCAGTAATTGTATTTCTATTTTAAATACTTAGTAGCCACGGTAGTTAGTTACAATAGCATCACGCAGCTTAAATATATTTTGACCATTCTAAAAAATTCTACTGAACACTCCTATTTATGGAAGTTCATCACACTACTAATACTTCCAATAAGTACAAAAAGGAGGATAAAGTGAGAAAGTAATCTCTATTTAAATTTTGTGACACTGTGCTTTGGGCTGGAGCGATAGCACAGTGGGTAGGGCATTTGCCTTGTATGCAGCCAACTAGGCTGACCCGGGTTTGATTCCTCCACTCTTCTTGGAGAGCCCGGCAAGCTATTGAGAGTATCTCGCCCACACGGCAAAGCCTGGCAAACTACTCGTGATGTATTTTATATGCCAAACACAGTAACAGCAAGTCTCACAATGCAGAAGTTACTGGGCCCGCTCGAGCAAATCAATGAACAATGGGAGGACAGTGATAGTGACAGACATTATGCTTTAAAAAATAAATAAACCACTAACATTTTTGCATTTATATTTTGGGCTAGCTGTTTTTTTTTTTCTCAAATTACCTGACAGAACCTTGACTTAACTGGCTAATTATACTAAAGAATTTGAAAAATGTAGAATCAGAAAGAACTTTATGCTTATATACTTGGTTCTCAATCCATACCTAGCAACTGGGGAGCTTGCTTATGGTTGTCTTACCTGAATTCTAATCCAGAACCTAGTTGAGGCCAGGACTTAAATATTTGGGGATCAACTACTTCTTTGAATGCATAAATTGGAAGATAACTGTTGAGAGTTGTTCTCATATACTCTTCACAGTCCAGATAAGAAAATACAGAATCTACCCAAAGTCACTAAGTTACTATTCACATATCTGAAAGGAGGAGTAAGTTCATGTTGACATTACCATGAATTTTTTTTAATTTATTTTTTATTGAGTCACTGTGAGATACACAGTTACAAAGCTTTTCATGACCAGGTTTCAGTCTTACAATTTCCCAGCACTACAATGAAGATTTTTTTGTTTGTTTTGTTTTGTTTTTTAAAGAACCACACTAGTGATGATAGGGAGCCCTAACCCCTCCCCGTGATGTTCAGCTTGATGATATGCATCTGATAGTTTAGTGCTGAGGCCCAATAATATGGGGCTAAGGCTCAGAAATGCTCAAAACCATGGGGTAAGCCTGTTGGAACTTAGGGACCATGATCCTGACAACCTTCCACACTGTGGGGACTATGCACCTGGGATTAAACTCAGAGCCCCACACAGGTAGACATGTGTTCTGCCAGTTAAACTCTCCCCAGCTTCTAGAATATGATTTAAGGTATATTAATAAATATGATTTTCTTATTTCTTCATGAATATTGTTGTATAATTTACATAATAGAATTTATATCTGAATTCCTATTTTGAAAATGCATGTTTATAAAAACCAAAATAAAAATGTACCAATTACCTCCTGAGATTAACAAATCTTTCTCATTTAGACATAGGGGCTATGGAGAGAGAGCTCAGAATTCAGAATGCAAACAGTTCCCAAGTGCAAAGACCCACTTAATCACCACTTAATCACCAGCACTATATTGGCTTAGTCAGGTGGCTTAGTCCTGGAAGCCTTTAAGCACCTCCAGTTGTGACCCACTTGTTCCCCATCTCCACTGGGCCTGAGCAGTGCTAGCGGCATCACCAGGCTCTAGCACTGAGCTTTCTGATCTGGTGGCCGCATATTCCCAAGAGTGGCCTTCAGGGTCCCTGTGTTCCGCTTGGTAGTACTCCTCAAATGAACCAATACATTGATTTCCTTCCTCAGAAAATAACATCTCTTGATAGCAGCAGCATAATGTTGCAGAAATAGTATGACTACCAGTCCAAAATCTGAATTGTTATTTCAGCTGTGACCATAACTCTGTGATGGGGGCAAATTACTTCCCTTCCACAAATTTGAATTTTCTCATCAATAAAACTGCAGAATAACCTCAAAAGCTCCTGCTAGCAGTGCCTTCATTCTAAAATTCAGAGCTGAGGAATCCAACCTGACAGAGAACATTGTTTTTACTTCAGTTCTAGCTGGTTTTCTTAGTTTACATTCAGGGTAAATAGGGGAAAATCAATCCAAAAACTGGTCGGCCCTCTGTATTGTCAAGGCCTACCTGATTCTCATGACTGGTGGGACAGAGCTTTTACAAGTGTCAGCAGCATCCACTCAACAACATTCATTCCCTGTAGCTGCCTTTCAGAAATGGTAATGACAGACCTACCCCTCACCCTCCTACATTCACAACTGCTGATCTGAAAATTATGATGTGTCAGACTTTTTACCACTTTAACTCCATCAAACTCATCTTTATATCTATAATCCCCACATACTGTAATGGAATTTTAGGTGGCTAGAGTATCCAACCAAGGCAGAAGACACATCATGAATAAGTAGCATGCTGAATATACATTTCTTACCTTACGCTTATTGGTAGGACACACGTAGAGATAACTCAAAATTGTTTTCAGCCCAACTTTATCATTTAGCTTCTCATAGGTTGTTCCATAATCAGTCGACCTATAATTCAAAAAGAGCATTAATGAGGACAAAACTATATGCCATTCAGGTGCTTGTTGGTATAATTTATGTTTTACTTAGAATGGCTCTTGGGGAAGTTTCTAAATGATTCATGCAGTATATAATGATGCTTAATTATGTACACAGTAGCATCATGCGAGTGTTTAACATTTGCATTTAAATTGAATTGGTAAAAATTAAAACTCCATCTCTCTCTACTGCTCCTTAATATATGCACACATTGCATACAGAATGTGGTTAATTTGAAAAGAAAGTAGGATATTCCTTGAACTGACCAAATACAAGGAGGTCTTAGATTTGACATTTCCAAATTTTTGCTTTATTTATCTCTAGCATAGTGAAAAAGCAGGTTCTTTCTGATTATCCACAAATGGTGTTTTCTTTTATGATTCATAGAAGGAGAATCAATTGTGTCAAAGGTTACTCTGTCTTTTCCTATTATTTAAGAGAAAAACCATGTCTTCGAATAACTAGAATTCAACAGTCTTACTCAGTGGCCTTTTCTAATGTTAAGCAATGTAGAATACAGGGTACCCAATTTCATGACTATATTTTTTCAAGTGATACTCTCACTTTTGTCTAGCCTCTGGTCAATGACTTATTAATTCAGAGTGAATAAATAAGACTTTATTCAACTTTACTAAGAAAGTTTATATATACTTCAAAATTATAACTGTAGTAGATAACATTTACACCATCAGTATTATTACTTAATTTGAAGACACCAATGGAAAGAATCTAAGTGATCTACCACTAGCTTCTTAAACTGTGGGCTATCATTCACATGGGATGATATACCTGAATATACAGGTAAAGGTAAAGGTAAAGGCCCTCCCGTTGTTCATCGATTTGCTCGAGCAGGCCCAGTAACGTCTCCATTGGAGACTTTGTTGTTACTGTGTCTGGCATATCGAACACATCATGGGGAGCTTGCCAGGCTCTGCTGTGCGGGCGAGATACTCTCGGTAGCTTGCCGGGCTCTCCGAGAGGGGTGGAGGAATCGAACTCGGGTCAGCCATGTTGGCTGCGTGCAAGGCAAACACCCTACCGCTGTGCTATCGCTCAAGTCACATCATATTTTAAATAATTTTTTCATTATTGATAAATGCTTGATTTATATACTTATATATATATTTATAATCTGGGATTACATAAAAATTTTAGTCTAGGGGCTGGAGATATAGTGAAGTTGGAAGGATTCTTGCTCTGTACGTAGTCAAGCTAATCCCCAGCACTGCACATGATCCCCTGAGCACAGAGCGAGAGCCACATGCCCTGCGCACTACCAGGTATATCTCTTCAGCAAAAACTAAGTAATTAATGAATTAAATAAAAAAACCCCAAATAAAAAAAAGGAAAACAAAATACAACCTTCAGGTCAAAGAGGTTTAAATGAAGAGTTTAGACTCTCTTTTGTCTTCAAATTTTTATTTAGTCACTTTGATTTTAAAACAATAAATGCTGTTAAGAAAGAATTTCACACCCACAACCCACCACCACAGAGGAGACTTCACCTGTTCTTCAAGGCCCTCTTCCAAGTCCCCACTACCCCCTGTAAACAAACTTCTTCTTAGAATTGAATTATTATAGTTTAGGTCACATGCTTACAATAGTGTTGATGCTTATAGTTCTGGTGGACACATTTACTTCACCTCTATGATAGAATTTAAATTCAGGAATATAAATCCTGAGTGAGTCCTGTGTTAACTCTATAAACGTGGTTCCCCACCCCCCCACCCCACCCTAGCAAGTATAAAATTTATTTTCAGTACAGCGGGTAGGGCGTTCGCCTTACAAGCGGCCAACATGGCCGACCCGAGTTCGATTCCTCCGCCCCTCTCGGAGAGCCCGGCAAGCTACCGAGAGTATTCGATATGCCAAACACAGTAACAACAAAGTCTCCAATGGAGACGTTACTGGGCCTGCTCGAGCAAATCGACGATCAACAGGAGGGCCTTTACCTTTTATTCTTTATACACACAGGGAATCTCTGTGAAAATATAATTTATTCCTTTACATTTTAAGCTATCCCTAGAAATACCAAGCTCTGTGATCAGGGCTAGTAGAACAGCACATTGTTCCTACTCTCAAGAATCTATTTGAGAGATGGAAATATAAATTAAAATTGTGTTAAATGTGATAAAGATATGAGTTATACATAGAAAATAAATTGTGTTTAATTAAGTTAAATATGCAATCATTCATTTCCAACACTAATAAGAGCAACAGATTTCTGCATAACAAAGAATTAAGTAATTAAGAGATTTTCTTTCAGAGAATCTGGGTGCATTTCCTCCTACAATTTGTACAGATAAAATGATACTTGGTGGCACTATTTTATAGCATCAATATTTCACAGATATTACAATTAATGCCATATAGGATTTTAATGGGCTGGAGCGATAGCACAGCGGGTAGGGTGTTTGCCTAGCACGCAGCCGACCCGGGTTTGATTCCTCCATCAAGCTTGATAGCTTGGAGAGCCCTGCAAGTTATCTAGATTATCCTGCCCACAAGACAGAGCCTGGCAAGCTCCTCGTGGCATATTCGATATGCCAACAGCAGTAACAAGTCTCACAATGGAGACTTTACTGGTGCCTGCTCGAGCAAATCTATGAACAAAGGGAGGAGAGTGCTACAGTGCTAGGATTTTAATCGCACTCCAAATCACTGAAGATAAAAATATTATGCAAAGTTTCTTGAAAAACTATTGTGTTTGAGAGATGGATAGGATTATAAAAACTGGTGAGAGCATCATAAACCAGCAGGCATTCTGGGTTGGTTCTGTGCATATCAGTGGTTATATTAAGGATTACCTGTGCCCTTATGTCCAATATAATAGCCTGAAAGCCACTAATATTTCAAGAACATTTTAAAAATATTTGAGGAACAAATCCAAAATATTTGTCAGAACAAATCTTATATAAGCACCACAAAAAACTACTTTAAATTCTCCTTTCATGTACATCTTTTTCTTCCCCCGACTCACAGCTCATGTAAAACTTCCACCCTAAGTAATGACTGAAGTCTTATCTCCTTACTTAGTCCAGTCCTAATGGCAGATATCTGATTTCTGCGTTAATTTGGTCTTCCAGAGGTGAAAAGTATGGAGGGTAAATAAGAACATTCTCCTGTTACTAATATTTGCTTGTTTGCAAAAATTTACTAGTCTTCCTATTGCTTCTTCTTTAAAGTACTTTTCGGTTTATATAGCTTTCTATTCATTACTGAAGGTGCTTTATTTTTGTTTTGTTTTGGATAGGTTTTGAATCGCAGAGGCAGTAGTTTCAAGGCTTATTCCTAGAACTGTACTAAAGGATTACTCTCAGCAGTGCTTGGGTGTTCCTGAGTGTTACTAAGGATCAAATCCAAATCAGACACCTACAAGGCAAATCTCTCTTTGCTGTACAATTTCTCCGGCTCAACACTGAGAGTGTCAACAACAAATATGCAAGTGGATAATCTTCCTCATGCAGCTGGAGAGATAGTGCACCGTGCACCCGGCCAACCTGGATTCAATCCCTAGCACCTCACTCAGTCCACCAAGCCTCATCAGGAACGATCCCTGAGCACAGAACTGGGAGTTAACCTAAATCAGTGCTGAGTATAGCCTCATAAAATAAATAGAAAAATAGATCAATAGAATTATAAATAACAAACCAATAAAATAATAAAAAAACAAATTGATAAATATATAGACAAGAAAAGTCTACCTGTGTGGTGGTGAGATGATGAGATAATCTTATTGCAATGTACTCTTATGGTAATGTAACTTGCCTAGTGGATTATTAATAAATTTCTCTCTTATGTTGATTGATATAACATGTTTCCTAACTGAGAAAATAGGAAAGAAGTTTCAAGAAGTAGGGACCAAGTATACACAATCAGGAATTATCTATAGAGGGTGTGACAGGGTTTTTTTTTTAATAATTTTGATGAATTTCATCCCTGCACCACTCAATGAATACCTTTACATTGAAAAGAACAAAAATAGAGACAATAATGAACACATAAGGAATTTCTATTGACCCATTCTCAATTCTGCATATCCCTGTATGTGTCTGATCAAAAAATTTACTTGAAATCCCCTTGTAATAAGAATGGATGATCATGTCAGAATTACCTTCATGACTTTTTTCCAGATTTTTAGTTATATTTTATATGATTGTCAAGCTATATATTTCAAGATATCTATTATTTTGTTCTAGATTTTTTGTCATTGTTGTTTAAAAGTTTAAAAACTGAATAAAACTTGATAATTCAGAGTAACATTTTTAAACATTAATATGCTATAATAAATGGGGGAAATTATGCATTTTCACATATCCAAATGACATGAACTGATAACTATTTTACAGAATAGAATTATATAGTATGGGCATGCATCATGAATAACACTTATCAACTAGGACACATTGGTAGAATGGTTCAGCACTTGGAAAACAGTTGACCAATAGTTATTGCCCCAAGTCTGAGAGTTTACTTCTCCAACTCGCCATTATGACTCCTAGATCTCATCAGTACCCAACAACCAAAATCTTGAGATGAGTAATTCTTGAAAAATATTTTCTAGGAGTCTAAAAGATAATCAATTCTTAGTCCTCCATATATGTCAAACAGCTTAAGCTCCTGGGAAGGAGATAGATTTGAGAGCACCGATGTACCTTAAAGATAATTTTTGGCGTCCATCTGCAACCCCTTCAGAAATAGCCAATGTTTCTAGTTATCATTGTTCTGTAGGAACTTTGGGAACTGCAGTCATGTGAGATGTGGGCTGTGGACCAGCAGAAGAGAGATGGACAGTTGAGCAACAAGAAGGCTGATGATGAGCATATGTACTAGCTTTTAAATATTCTAAGTATCACTCCTTTGTATGGAGGAGAAGTGGGTTTTCCAAGACCAGATAAAAAGTCAGGTTATGTTTGATTGTATTTCAATCATTTGCTTTGGAATTCTGGTTTTGACTATAAATATATACA